ATAGACAGGGGGCTACGTTCCCAGTTCACCCTCACCATAGGTTTGGGTTTACCAGGTCTGTCCGGCAGCCTCCCCTGCCACTGAATCCAACTCACCACCAGGTGGTTATCAGTTGGAAACTCTGCCCCTTTCTTCCAAGACTTAGGGTCAGATGACATGACTAAAAATATTGATCACCAACCTTTGGTCTAAGGTGGCCTGGTGCCAAGTACACTTATGGATCACCCTGTGTTCAAACATGGTGTTTGTTCTGGACAACCTGGAATTACTGTAGCAGGTAAGTCCAATACCAGAACACCATTCAGGTTCAGATCAGGGAGGCCGTTCCTCCCAATTGCCCCTTCCAGATCCCTCTATCATTGCCCACATGGGCATTGATGTCACCCAGTGGAACAAGGAAATCACCAGATGGTACTCGTTTCAGGGAAAACATCCAAAGATTCCAAAAAGGCTGGGTAATCTGAACTGATGTTTGGTGCATAAGAACAAACAAAAGCCAGAACCATCCCAATGCTGCAGAGAGGTAACCCACTTGTTCACAGGGGAGAACTCCAACASTGAGCCACACAGCCTGGGGCTTGTGAGTACCCCACACCTGCCTGCCACCTCTCTCCCCGGGCAACTCTGGAGTAGGAAAGTCAAGCCTTCTCCAGGAGTTGGGTTCCAGAGCACAAACCCTCAGTAAAAGTGAGCCCAACTACATCTAGCAGGTAAAGCTCAACCTTACACAAAATCTCCACCTCCTTACACACAAGTGAGGTTATGTTCCACATCCCTGGAACTAGTCAATACTGCCAAGAATTGGCACAGCCAGGGACCCTCCCTCACCTGCTGCCTGGCATTCATTGTACCCCTTGATGGTCCTTCCCACTGGTGTTTTATCCACATTGAGATGGCTTCCTGTTGTAATTACAGGCATGTCTCAGTCGAGCCCCAAGACCCAAGGCTCAGATATTTACGGAATTTGGAAATATTGCATTTAAAGAACAGTGAATTGTGTTGAATGGGACATTTTGCTTGATCCCTTCCTGATGAACTTTGTTTAAAAAAACTTGACAAAGTTTTCAAATGTAGATCTCTGTATAAAGTAATTTGCACAGCTACCTAAAATCAAGAAGATAGTGCTACTTAACCTATGAGATCTGTTTCTCAATTCAATTTTATTATTTCTTTATTATTTCACTTTTATAATATTGTGTAGCTTTTTTCTGTGTATTCCAGTTTCTGCACACAGACCAACACATGCATTTTAGGTTAACTGGGAATGGACCCTAGGTGTGATTGAAAGCATTAATGGTTATTTGTCTCATTTGTCAATGGTGTGATGTGATTTGTGATGGTCTTGTGACCTGTCAAGGGTCCAGGTTGTACTCCCCTTGTTGTACAGTGACTGCTGGAGATGAGCACCAGCTCCCTCATGACTCATAAAAGAAAAGCAGATACCAAAATGGAAATCAATAGACAGATGGATGGAGGAAGTGCCTGAGAAACTGATGTATGTTCTCTGAGGCCCATATTGCCCCTTAAAAAGATTCAAAATGACTGATCCAACAAGAAGCAGGAAAAAGTTATGTATGTCTCCAAGAATGTAAGGAGACCAAAAGAGAAAGAAAAAGAGATGGAGGGTAAATGAAGTGAGGAGAAGCTGCTGCTTCCTTGTTTATTTTTTATTTTTATTTATTTATTTATTTATTTGAGAAAAGAGGTGAGCAGCAAAACTGAACAGCTTGAGCTAAAATGTCTCAAAACACACATGCTTTACTTGAACCATTTTAAGATAAAATTAAATTAACCAGCATCCAAACCTATTACAACCAATCATTTGACAACAAGCTCTCCCAGATTTGGGGATAAAATAGTTTAACATTGTTTTGTTTTTTTTTTAGCTCTTTCCCTGTGATATATAAGAACATAGGACAGGACTACTCAACTGGTGGCCCACTGGCCACATCCGGCCCGCAAGTGACCAAAGTTCGGCCCGCCAATTGGTTCATTSATCCCTAAAGCCCAAACCCTCGGTTTAATTGCGATAAGTTCTTTTAGTTGGACGTAGGGATGTTTGGTATCTACAGAAACATAAGAATCTTGTCTAGAAGCTGGAAAAAACCATTGCTATAAACACTCAAGACAGTTGAAATTACAAGCAGTTAGAAAATAAAACTGTGAAAGTGAAAATAAAATTGGTTTAAAAATTTTGTCAAGTCAGAAATGTCAAAATAATATTTGTGTTAAATATGAGGCATAATGTGTTTTTTGTTTTTGATATTGTTTTATCATCACTACTTTTATTACATAGGGTTCTGTATGTTGTATTCATGATTAAATGCAGCAAATGATCTACAGTATTTCAAAGGTAACAGATCTTTGTAATACTTGGTTTATTTACATAATGACTTTAATTGCTGGATGTTCGGCCCCTCAGCTGTTGGACTGCAGAAACTTTGGCCACCGGACCAATTTAGTTGGATAGCCCTGACATAGGACATATRAGGACATACCACTGGATTGATTGTAATCCAAGGATTGTGGATTTGAAAAACTGAATGCAACAGAGGACATTTTACATATGGTTAAAATTGGTCAAATGCAACAGTGGAAGAGAATATTCCAACTCTAGGGCTATACTGAATGAGTCTAATGAGACTCTGCCACTGAATCCAGATGTCTGCCACATTTTGAGCAGTTTATTACAGTTGGTGTGTAAGAGTCATATTGAATGCCTTTTAAAAAGGATCTGATCTTGAAAAAGGGCTGTCCTATAATTATTACCTAATTGCTTAATTTAGTAAATTTCCTTGGGG